AAAGGGTGGCTTTTGTAGACCTTATTCCCCCTCTCCGCTTCCCCCCCTTCCTAAGGGCTGTGTTTTTACAGTGTGTTCTGCCCCATCGCCTCTTCCCTTTCCCAAAGGCTGTTAAATGTGTGATTCGCCTTCCCTTTCCCCCATCCCAAAGGCTGTTAAACGTATGATTCGCCTTCCCTTTCCCCCATCCCAAAGGGTGACTTTGAAATGTATGATTCGCCTTCTCTTTTCCCCTTCCCAAATATGATTCGCCTTCCCCATCCCAAAGGGTGACTTTGAAATGTATGATTCGCCTTCCCTTTCCCCCATCCCAAAGGCTGTTAAACGTATGATTCGCCTTCCCTTTCCCCCATCCCAAAGGGTGACTTTGAAATGTATGATTCGCCTTCTCTTTTCCCCTTCCCAAAGGGTGACTTTTAAATACAATGGCTCTACAATCGTCCCTGGAGACCAAGGGGTAGACTATGAAACCTTTAAAAGGAAGTGCACAGGTAAGCGCCGTCTTGATTGCTTTGGCACCTTACCGTGTTTCTTGCTGCCTGGTGTGAGGGGGGAAAGGATGGGAGAAAATTTGGGTAAAGTGGAATTAGTGCTGCCGCTTCCCCGTCTCTGCCCTGCCCTGCATGATCGGGTTTCCAGCCGCCACAGTGCAACTCGCTGAAGTCCATAGTCCAGCCGGTCCTTTGTCTCACTCTTAGACTTAAGGTCCTTTGGGCTTCCCCCCCCCCGCCCCTTTACACAATTTTTCGTTGCTTCTCAGTTATAAACAGGATAAACCGCTTGATTAGCGATGGTCTCCTTGCTAGCGCTGCGGTTTCAAAGCATTGCTGAAGAGCAAAAAAGACTCAATTTCTGTAGCTGAAAAGATGCACTCATACAGATCATTTTGCAACAGAATTCTTCTGTAAACCGTATTCGTAGTGCTAAAGTAACTGCAGTTAGAAGGCTTGCTCGGATTTTTTAAGAACATGAAACCCGAGGAGAGAGTGGTTACGCCGAAGATCGGCTCGAACAATACAGTGCTGAAAACAATCGTATATGTGGTGTTGCACAACCGCAACAGTTGCGGCTGTAGGTTTAAACGTGGCAGTCGATTGTTTAACTGTCGGTTGCAGAATATTAACAGGAGAAACAAAGCCTGGGGAAGATGAAAATAAATTGAGGAATAGTTAACTTCATCTGATCTTAACTTTTGACGTGTTTTACAAAGGCGGGCTTTGATGTTTCTCAAAATAACTTCAAGGGGGGAATTGTGTAGCTTTTCCCCCTCTCTTGGCTGCTATTTAACAATGTCACCAAGTGACGTGAGATAGGAAGCATTTGTAACTAATACTGAACTGTTACAGACAAAGCCTTCCTCACTCGCCTAGTTACTCTACAGTCAGGTACTATGGGTAACCTGTATTTTTAGAATTCTGTACCTGTACAGCGAAGGAGTTGCATATTGAGCAGTCTCTCCCTGCTCAAGGCGGGGCGAGTCCAGGAGGGGCATTGTAGTCACGAGTCCCAGAGCCACTGAAACGCTAGCGCCTGTCCAAATTGGGCTGTCAAGTCCTAGGGCTTGGCTGTATTTTACTGAGTTGGAGGGGAGAACTTCCAGTAACTTAAATGAGGACAGGACTGGACTGATATTTATCAGTCAATAAATATCACAGGAGAAAAACACGTTTTAGTCCTTGGAAAGTAGCCACTAAATCAAGAAGGTTTAGACTCCTCTGCTATGACATTTGCAGTGGGGTCGTACTAGGATTAACACAGCTACTCATTTCCAGCTGTACTTGAGACCTTTGCAGGGAAAATTCTCAAAACCGAAAAGGAGCCTCTTGTAGTTGATGTCAGAAGAGCTGATACCCAGTAGCGCAAGAACTCCCTCCCACCCAACTCTTCTTAATGCGCAACATAAGGAAAAAGTACAAGGAAACCCAGGGCTCAGCACTTCTGAAGTTCATGCCGATGTTATCTGAAGGATTAGTAGTTTTCTTGGGAAGTCAATGGCATCAGTATCTGGGTGCCATGTTCTCTGTCTCCTCTTCTGGCCGAGATAACTGAGTGTCTCCAGCGTCTCCAGACATCTGAGGCTTGCAGAGGAACCTTCCCCATTTATTTTCTCTCCTTGTTTTCCAGGAGTCCACCTCTTATGTGTCTGAACTGATTTTTAGTGTCTTGTCTGGAGTGACACCCTCTGAAGAACAGTTCCTATCTTCCCTTCTGTAGCAAAGGGAATACTTTTATCGAGTGGCTAAGCAGGCAGAGGGGCTTTTGGAGGGCAGTCACCGGTTGGGCTGGGTAGGATGCATATAACAACTAACGGAGGCACATACTGCACTTTGGAATATGGCCAGTTTTGTTTTCTTGCCATTATTTGCACGTGCCAAACCCTTATTTATAACCAGGGTATTAAAACAGGCAGAGTTTAAGGAGAACTTGTTTTATACCAGCAAAGTGCCAAGCTGGCCCCAATACTGAAGCATTTTTACAGCAGAAAGGAAATTTTGCATATTTTAGGGATAAGCACGGTAAGGGAAGAGTTAAATAAAGGGCATCTGTGGGGTAGGCTGTGGCCTATTGTTAGCCTTTACTGTGGAGCTAAATCCTTTGTAGCTACTCAACTGCTCCCTTTCCCTCTTCCTTCTCTCCCTCTTCCTTCGCATGCACCTGGCGTGGGCAAGAGGTTATCCTCCAACCTACCTCTGGAGCGCAGTTGCTGGAGGCTTAAAGAACTAGGCAAATTCCGGTACAGGGTGCTTGGCTAAGTGCTGGAAAGGATCTTCCTCCGCCCACGAATTACGGTGCAGCAGTTGGGGAAGCTAGAGATGCAAGTTGCGGTGCCTCCATCTGTGCAGCAACCCTCCGCCTGGACCACTAGACGTAGTCAGAAAACAAGGCTCGTGCCAGCAGTGAAGTTAGAACTTTCCTCCCCATCTGGAAGAAAGGTGCCAAATGTTACTATGAAGTAGAGCTGGTTGGAATTTTTCTACTAAAACAAAGTCAGTAAAAAAGAGTAGGAAGGGATGGGGAGAGCTGCTAAATACTATTCCTTCCTATTGCTACGTCTCTTCCCTCCCGGTCCACACCCCATCTCCTTCTACATTTTGCTGGAGGGGAGAAGAGCTACTACCAATGGAATAGCTTCAGAAAATGTGAGTAAAAGATTTTAAAAAATGGCATCAGAATAAACTCCCTTCCTTGTTTTGAATTCCTGTTTTGTGAAAAACACTGCCCTGAAAGCCACAAAGTGCTACAGCTGCCTCTGGTAGAAGCTGAGCATAATTTGGTGGTTGGAGGTGAGAGCGGGAGCTGGAGTTGAAAACCTCAGTGTGCAGTGTCACCGAGCCCCTCTGTCAGAGCTTGCTCTGTTCTACTTTCTGCGACATCCATTTCAGTGCCGTTCTGAGTGGCAAACATCTGTCCCCTCTGCTTTCTTTAATAACCATTCTTATTAAAAGCACCTTCAGCATGCGGTACGTATCGCTTCCCTCCAGGGCATTAAATTACAGAGCCGGCGGTGCCAGTGTGTGCTAATTCATGTGGCTCTGAGACCAAGAAGGTCTTTTGTACCAGTTTGGAAGATATTTGCCTGTGGTGGATATCCTGCCTCGTGCAACAACAGAGGCTAGGAAGGGCTGGAGGGGGTTGTTGGTAGCAGGGTTGTATTTTTGCTTTTTCTTCCCCCCATACATAACCTTTTTCATGCAGACCATGGCCCAACCCATTACTGATCCTGCAAACCTCCTCAGGGAACAAGAGTGGTTGAGGACAAAGGGAAAAGCAAGAAACTGAAATTGCTTCTTTTAAAGGAAGTAGGGGTTCAAAAAGACCATGTTAGAAACCAGCTCTCTGCCAACCTCCGGCAACGCTCTGTGGGCTGCCGTTGAAGGAGCACACGACAGACCGAGATGCTGAGCTCCTGGGGCAGCGAGGCCCATGCCCGGAGCCAGGAACTGCTGCTGCACCCGGTCTACCTTGTGTGGGTTTCGTTACTCTCGCTGCTCTACTCTCAGATACGCATTGCACGTCAGACCTACATGTTATATATCCTGGGGTGGAGGCTTTTTTCTTCCTAAGCTCTTTACTAAACTTTGTGTACTAGCAGAAATGTTTAAGGAACCGCAGAATCAAACTGTCATCCTTTTCCTGTCCCACTGTTTGGGGACAGCAATTGCCACTCTTAAAGGAAGAACACATGGTAAGAAAAGCTTCTTCAGTGCCCTTTTGTTCAGGGTCCTAGGATTATGCTGCAAACACAGCCTGAACCCTGGACTTTTCTTATCAGTCACTGCCATGCTGTTGGCTGTCAAGGTCTGTCAGGCCACAAGATGACTCGAACACTTCAGCTGGGAGGCAGTAGACTCTGCTTTAGTCTCAGGCAGTAGACTTCTCTGTCCTCCAAAGACCAGCCCCAGATGTGTGAACACCTCTCCTCCAGCCTATCCCAAAGGAAAGTCGAGGAGGTTGGTTTAAACCACTGGCACAGTAAAGTCCTTACATGATTCGGAGGTGACCGCTGGTGGCACTTCCTCTTGCAGTCCTGCGTAATGACCAACGTACAATGGCTGTATTGGCCTTTGTCCGACCCAAAGAGTCAGGAGACCAAAGATGAAGACCTTAATTGTGTCAAGGTCATTAAACACACAGTGTAGACACCCCCTGTGTCTTCTGGCTAAGGACTGTTTTGGTTGGGCTTAACAGCACAGATTAACCTCTGCATTAAACAAGGACTTGATTCAAGGCTTTTGATCCATTTTACTTCACAGTGACAGCTTTTGCCCCTGCAGATGGCATGGATCCAGACGTAGCATTAATTTGGTGTTTAGTAGTACGTGCCATCAGTACACTTTTAAAAAAACAGCTGAGCTGGTGGATTTGAAGCCAGAAACACAGATAAGAGTTGAAGGTTATTGTACGGAAGGATGTGAAGGCTCTTGGGTTTTTTTGTTGTTGTTTTTAATTTCAACGTCTCATGACTGGGCCGGTGATGCTGTTGCTGAGAAGAGCAGAATGGCATACAACTGAGATACTGAACTAAAAGTCTGGTCAAAAACTTCCACTTAAACTTTTGTGTGTGTCAGTAATACCTGACTGCACCGGACAGCTTGCCTCAGTTTCTGTGTTACGAAGCAGCAGAACATTGCTATCTGTGGTTTACTTCAATTTTTTTAAAGTGTGTATTCACCCATTAAGTAATGGAGTGGTGTGGAAGACTGTCTTTCCGCCCATACCACATGTGAACAGTTGTTCTTCAATGCATCTCTGACAAAAGAAATAATGAGCCTTTTATTTGGAAAGCCCCCATCCAGATAAATAATTGCAATGACAGCATGAAATGGGATAGTTATTCATGTGTCTGAAAAGATCAAACCAAAACCACACTGTGCATTCAGCATGAGGAAGAACTGAAAATCTTTGGTCTGAAATAAATACCCTATAAAATAATTTCTGGTTGACATAAAATATTAGAAAATAGAAATAGAATCAGCTCCTAAGACAAATG